TAAATACCAGGTTCACTCCATGGCTTAGAAGCCAGCCATACACTGTAGGGGCAAAGGCAGCTCAGCTAGAGAAGGGAGCAGCAAATAAAGGGTGCTGGGAAGATCCGCCCAGGATGGGAGATGCCTGCTGAAAGTAGACTATAGACTGAACATGACTGCCACCCAATGTCTCTTCTGCAGACCACAGCACCCAAAAGGAGAGATAGAACAAAAGGGAGTGCCCTGCCACAGAGGCAGGGTGGGATGGGGGATAGGAGGGGTGGAAGGGATACTGGGATTGGTGGGGGTGGAGAATGAGCACTGGTGGTGGGATGGGTACTCAATCATTGTATAACTGAAACCCAAGCACAACAACTTGTAAGTCTACAACTGTACCTCATGGGGTTTCACTAATAAAAAAAATAAATTAAATTAAATTAAATTAAATTAAAAAATAAATAAAAAGAAGTTGCTGGTTAAAGAAAAAAATACAAATCATGTTGAAAATCAAACACTGTCACTGTCACTGTCCTCCCATTGTTCATCAATTTGCTCGAGCGGGCCCGGTAACGTCTCCATTTTTGAGACTTGTTGTTACTGTGTTTGGCATATCTAATAAGTCACGGGTAGCTTGCCAGGCATCCATGCAGATTGAAGAGCTGAAGAGAGGAGCAGAAGGTCTTATCAGATCAATTCTGAAAGGCTTTATATGACAAAACAAATTCTGAAAATTTATTTCAGTAGTCCTGCTCAGCAAGAAATGTTTAAATGAATATTAAAAATAAAATGCTGTAGATAAGGAACTTAGACCAGTGTTTTTTAAGAGGGCATCAGAGAAAAATTGAGGTAAAATGAAATAATTATTTTTATTATTTTCAATTGATCTAATAGAGTACGATTCAAAATCACAATCAATGTATTGGGTGATTATGGCATAAAGATATTATAAGAAATGCAGAAATACTAGATTGAATAGGAGATAATTGAGAATTCTATGTTACAAGCATTCTGTATTACTTGTAAATAGAATAGAGTTATTTAAAGTGATTTATATTAGTGTTAAATGTACATTTAAAAATATTTTGGAAAACAATACGGAGATTTCTCTAAAAACTGGAAATTGAGCTCCCATTTGACCCACAAATACCACTTCTGGGAATCTACCCTTGGAGCCCAAAAATACACAGCAGAAACACCATCTGCACTCCTATATTCATTGCAGCACTACTCACCATATCCAGAATCTGGAAATAACAGGAGTGCTCAAGAACAGACAAATAGATAAAGGAACTACGGCACATTTACACAATGGAATACTATGCAGCTGTCAGGAAAATGAAGTCCTGAAATTTGCCTATAAATGTATGGACATGGAGAGTATCATGCTGAGTGAAACCAGTCAGAAGGAAAGGGACAGATATAGAATCACTGCATTCATTTGTGGTATATAATATATATAGTATCACTGTGTCACTGTCATCCTGTTGTTCATCGATTGCCTCGAGCAGGCCCCAGAAACGACTCCTTGGTCCTAGCCCTGAGATTTTAAAAAGTGCCACATTTGAGGTTCTTTCAGGGTCAAGAGAATGAGACCCATCATTGTTGGTGATAAGGCGGTATTGATACTCCGACTTCTATTGTGTTACCACCAATATCCTCCTTGAAGTCTGTTAGCAGATGTTTTAAGTATTTTTCTGGCCCCTCATTGGGTGCATATATGTTTAGGAGTGTGATTTCTTCCTTATGTACATATCCCTTGATTATTAAAAATTAGTCTTTGCTGTCTCTTCTAATCTTTTTTATCCTGAAATCTATGTTGTTGGATACTAGTATGGCCAACTTCTCAGCAATGATATCTTTAACTGTTGCTACTGCATTGGGGTTGCCTCCTTGTCCTCCTGATACTCCAATGATTCTTATGTTGTTCCTCTTGAATTTATCCCCTAGGTCTCTTATTCACCTTTGCGCTCTTTTGAGGTCTTTTTCCCATTATATGCTGTTGCCTGTGTGCTTTCTGCAGCCCGCACGGCAGAGCCTGGCAAGCTACCCGTGACGTATTCAATATGCCAAACACAGTAACAACAAGTCTCGCAGCGGAGACGTTACTGGGCCCACTCACTCCAACAAATCAATGAACAACGGGAGGACCGTGACCGTGATCTTCAAGCTCACTGATTCTGTCTTCAGCTATTCTCATTCTACTGTTGAGGGCACCCAATGAGTTTTAATTTCATCTACTGAATTATTTATCAGTGACAATTCTGTTTGTAGCTTTCTTATTTCTGCTCTCATTTCTTTCTGTATTTTATTGGCTGTCCCATTCCACTGTTTCTTTCATATTCTCTTTAATTTACTGGATGCCTGTTCCACTGTATCTCTGAGCTCATTGAATATCCTCAACATTTCAGCTCTGAATTCTTTATCAGAGAGATTGTATTTGTGGGTATTGACGTTTCTGGGCTCTTTTCTTCATCCACTCCTCTGGATTTGCCCTGTTTCTTCATGTTGCTGTGGTAGTATGGAGGTGGATTCCTCCAGTTCACTGTCAGTGTTCCCCTCTCACTATGAGGGAGGATTCTGGATGGGTTCTGTCAATGTTGGTCTTCTTTTTCGCTTTCATGAATACTAACTTCCTCTTTGTTGCTCCTCTGTGACTTAGAGGAGGTCTCTAATGCAGCTTCATGGGATGTGTTCTTTTATATTAGGCTTGGTCAGATTCTTGGTTCACCGTTATTTTGATGAGTTTGGGTGTTTTGATTAGAATAGGCTAGTGGACTACTGGCCTAATGTGTTTGGGGTAGCCAGGCTGTCCTCCTAAGAATTAGATAATGCAATTAAAAACTTAAAAAATAAGTTAAAGGATAAATTAGAGCAAAAAAAAATTCTGAGGCCCTGGTGCCAGATGCCTAGTTAGTGTTTAGTAAAGATGTACATCTCCGAATGTTGCATTCTCCGAATGCAACAGCTATGTTTACCTAGGTCGAGAAGTCAACATGACAAATGACCTGGCACCCGAGCTGCGCAGGAGGAAGAGAGCGGCTTGGAACGCCTTCAAGAACGTTGAAGAAATAGCTAAGAGGACGAAGAACCTCCGGCTTCAGGCACATCTTTTTGATTCCACTGTTCTTCCTGCATTAACATATGCCTCAGAGACCTGGGCCCTACGCAAACAGGATGAGAACGCTATTCAGGTCTCCCAAAGAAGAATAGAAAGAGCTATGCTTGGAATATCACATTTCACTCAAATGAGAGAAAGAATCCGGAGTTCCGACATCCGTCGACGATCAAGAATCAGGGACGCTGTCTCGTTTGCCAAGGTGTCGAAAATCAGATGGGCTGGTCACGTAATGAGATTTAAAGACAACCGCTGGACTAGAGCTGTTACCGACTGGATTCCACGGGATGTCAAAAGACCGCGTGGCCGCCCACCTACCAGATGGTCAGACTTCTTCATCAAGATCATGAACGATCGGTTTGAGGCTCTTCATGTTCCCGGAGCGAACAGATGCCATTGGGCTACACTAGCACGCGACAGGGACAAATGGAGACGTTACTGGTGCCCGCTCGAGCAAATCGACGACTAACGGAAAGTTAAGTGATTAAGTGATTAAGTACATCAAAAAAACAACAACAAAAAAAGAATAATTAGGTAATGGTCATTGAGATGTGAGTCCAAAGCGCTGAGAAAGGGGAAAATAACTGCAACTGCATGAACGACAGCTTCCCTGGAGGCCACAGTCACCGCCATCGCTGTACCTGTGAGGGAGGGGCTGCGGTGGTGCTGATGCAGGATTAGAGTTCCATTTCTGGCGCACTTCTAAAACTGCAGGGGTCCTCTCTGGTCTATGTGCTCATGTGGGCACCTTAGCCAAGAATGGGGTCTTCCAGTACCCTGGGTGCTTATTGACGTCTTAAGAGGGATATCCCTGCCACAGCCTGATGCCTATAGAACAATACCCCTAGGTAGCTGGAGAAAACCTGCAAGAGATGATGTGGTTAAGTAGTTTAAGGCAGATGATTCCCAGGAAGGAGAGCTTCAAATTCTAATGTGACTGATAGCAATGAAGACTATCGGGACATCAGGGCATGTAACAGCTGCATTTGTCTTTGTATTCTCTGTATTTTCCAGCCTGGTCAGAATTTTTGGCTTCCTTTCCCCACCCGACCTTTATTTCCTTTTAGTGTGTTGTTGTGACTTTATTCATCAAAGGCTAGTCCCAGGAAACTTCCATCCTTACCCAATTCTGTTTCTGTTGTTCCCCCGCCACCCCCCGAAATCTTCTTTTCTAAGTAGGCCATCTATCGACACTTGGAAACCATGAGGATATTCTACAGAGAGAAATCCCGAGGGGTCTGGAATCCAGTTGGAATGTCATTCCCTCCCTATTGTCCTCTTGGCCATGGTTCTGATTGGGTTTGGTATGTTGGGGACTGCTGACCTGCTAGGGACTAGACCTCTTTACCCCAGTCAGAAGAGTGTTCCCCTCTTCCTGACTAGAAAATGTTGCTTTCTTGATCATGACCAACATTGTTTTTGTTTTCATTTGGCTTCCTTCTAGAAGCTGTTGAATGCATTGGGTAGATTTGAGAGAAGAATTATAAAGGGGAAAAGGAACTACCCGAGAGTCGTTTTCGATCATAGACCCCTTCCCATACCCCATTTGTATATTGTGAGAAATAGGAGGAAAAAGTCAATGAAAACCAGGATCCCAAGATTTCCGAGATTTTATTCGGTGTCATTGTACACACTCACAGATACAGCTCTAATAAGGGATAAAGTCAAGTTGTGGAAGGAACTATCTTCTTGGGCTGAGAACCTGGACACCTGAGGTGACGGGCTCATTAGGAATTAGCACTGGGCAAGAGTTCCTCCTCCCCATCAAAAAGACATGCATAGGACACAGTAGGCCAGGCTGACAGATGAGGTGGGCCACCCAGGCTGGGGACCTGAGGTCATGGAGTCCCTGACTCTCTCCACTTGTGTGGTGTTGGCCTGAGAGCCTTTAGGATGCTGAAGTTGATTACACATGTCTGGGGGGCCACTCCATCTCTTGTTTCTGCTGCTGCTGATCTGTAGGTGGCGAGAGGCCTTCTCTGGGCTTTTGCACGGCCTGGGTTTCTTGGGATGGGTCCAGAACCTGGACAGACACATGCTGCTCCAGTTGCTCGTCCTGCTGCTCTACCAGCTGCTTTTTTTGCTCCTTTAGCTGCTCCTCTGGGTGCTCCAGCTGTTCTCTCTTTTCTAGGCACTCATCTTTCTCTGTTAATTCACCATCTATTTGCTCTTCCAGAATCTTCTTCTCTTCCCAGTTCTCCTGTCGCTGTGCTTCCTTTTGTGCTCCTTTGTGTTCCAGCTGCTGCTCCAAGCTTCCTGCCTCCTGATGCTCCCCGTGCTGCTTGTGTTCGGGATGCTCTGGTTCCTGTTCCGTTAGTTCCTGGTGCTGTGGTTCCAGCTCCTGTGATGCTTTTTGCTGCAGCAGCTGCTGCTGTTCTAGGCTCCGTTCCTGCTCCTGCGAGTCTTGCAGTTGCTGCTCTTCCAGGTGCTCTTCCTGCTTCTGTAAGTCTTGCTGCTGTGGCTGTTCCAGACACTCTTCCCGCTTCTGTGACTCTTCTTCCTGCGGCTGTTTCCGGCACTCTTCTAGCTGCTGTGACTCTTGCTGCTGTGGCTGTTCCAGACACTCTTCCCGCTGCTGTGACTCTTGTTCCTGCGGCTGTTCCCGGCACTCTTCTAGCTGCTGTGACTCTTGCTGCTGTGGCTGTTCCAGACACTCTTCCTGCTGCTGTGACTCTTGTTCCTGCGGCTGTTCCCGGCACTCTTCTAGCTGCTGTGACTCTTGTTCCTGTGGTTGTTCCAGGCACTCTTCCTGCTGCTGTGACTCTTGTTCCTGCCACTGCTGACCTGAATGCTCTTCCCGATGCTGCAGGTCACCTTGCTGTAGCTCACATTCCTGCTCAGGCACCTCTTTCTCCAGAGTTATGTGCTTTTCCCCACACTGAACGGTGACCTCCGTGGGGGTCTCAGAGAGCACTGTCTGGCATGGGGTAGGCAGTGGAGTTGGCTGTTTCTCTTGTTCGTGTTGGGTATCAGTAGGAAGGCAAACAGGCTTAAGGGGCTCTTGGCTGAGGGCAGAGGGCAGGGTCACTGGAAGAGTCTGTTGCTGATCCATTCTGGAAGGTGCTTCGGGTGACCCTGAAAAACAGAAGGGTTAGAAAGGTGACACAGAGAGGAAGCGGAGTCTATATGAAGGAATCAGGGGCAGCACCTGGGTTGTCTGCCTCCCTTCTTTGTCCGTCCTCATGGGTGCTGTTTCTCTCCCTCCAGAACATGCTTCTTGAAAAGCAGCATAGAATAAAGGATGAGGAGGGGAGGAGAAAGAAAAAGGTCTCCTAAGACGCTCCTTTCTGCAGAAGCCAATGACCAGGTGTGTCTCTGGCACTGCTCTGCCGGGGTGGGTGGATCAACATTTTGTCTCCTGCTGTTGTTGACTCCTAGTGTCCAACATCACTTCTGAACTCCACTGGCCAAGGAGAAGTTATCAGGTCTGGGCTATGACATAAGGTGTCACGAGAAGAAAGTGCTCCTGGTGTTGGGGTTGGGGTGTCCTGAATGCTGAGAAACCAACAGTCTAGAGCAGACCTGAGAGACCAGGACAGGATCTCTTGATTAGGGTCATATCACATATTTTCAACTTGTGTCCTCTGAAATATTGTGTACTTGGTCATAAATTATGCCCCACGGAATCCCATATCACTCCATAAAATGAATATGTTGGTCTACTCAACTCCCCTTCCACATGATATTCTGAACTTTAGCTTTACTCCCTATACTAGGGATGAGGGGTGGTAGGAAGAGGGTGGAAGGTTGAGGTTGGTTCCTTCATGTTGGTGAGTTTTCCTGCCCTTGCTTTGCTTGGGTTTATCCAATTAGGAAGTTCATCCAAATAGAAAGTTTTCCCTTCTGCAACTCCCCACTTTATTTTTTTCAGCACAGTTAAAAGTTGGGTACAGCGGGTAGGGTGTTTGCCTTGCACGCAGCCACCCAAGTTTGATTCCCAGCATCTCATATGGTCCCCTGAACACTGCCAGGGATAATTCCTGATTGCATGAGCCAGGAGTAACCCCTTTGCATCGCCAGGTGTGACCCCAAAAGCAAAAATAAGTTACAAGCATTTCTCTGAACCACAGCAATACTCCATTATAAACATTATAACTCATAAAGAAGGAACAGTTAGAATCCGTCCAAATACAGTTTCAGGAAGGAAATTTGCCTGCCTTCCTCTGAAACCTCTCCTTCTCCTCCTCTTTTTCCTCTTCGTCATGCCCTCTTCCCCCTGATCCTCCTTCTCTTGTTCTTCCTCCACTTCCTTCATTTCCTTTTCTCTCATTTTCCCTCATTCTTTCTTCCTTCTCTCTCACTCTTCTTCCTTCTCTTCTTCCTCATCCCCCGCCTTCTATTACCACTTCTCTTTCACTCATCCACAGACACACAGTTATTGTAAAATATGGTCTGAAGAACATATGGGACAGAAAGATATTGCTATCTATTACGTTCCAAGACACTCTGGCCCATAAAAGGTAGTTCTAGTCGAATTCAGCCCTTGAGTGATCGACCTCCTCTTCCCAGCCCCTGAGCTGGCCACCCCTAGCCACAGTCTGGTCTGCTGGAGCTCCTAGCCTGACGCCCAGTTCTTCCAGCTGGCACTTACCGGGTTATCAGGAGGTATGGCTGAAGAGGCTTCTTGTGCTGAGCTGAGCAGCACCCTTAGACAGGGGCACCCTTTATACTGTTCTGTAGTTGAAGGAGATGGACTGGTTTCACCACTGAAATTGGCCAACTTCCTCCATCCCCCTTCTGACTCACCATAGGCACCTCAGTATAAACCCCTCAGGGGCCCTTTTCACAGAGATACAAGGCTCCTGCCTGGCCAGAGGGCTCTGGGGGCCCAGCACTCCTGTGATGCTCATCTGACCTGAGCACGGGGACATGAGGAAGGCAGCTCAGAAGCCCGTTCCTCTTTTCCTACTGGTTTGTGGCACATCTCAATTCCTATATGTGTAGAATGTGTTATTCCTTATTATTAGGAAGAGATTTATTTGCAAGGACATTAGATTGGAAAATAATATTTTTCATTGGGATATTCAGGCCCAGGGATGTGAAGTAAAGGTGAGTATAATTGCTTCTTATTAAAGAAAGTAGCTGCTGATTCTCTTGGTTACTAGATCACAGCATTTCCAACATTAGGACACATTTATAATTCCATTTATGTGAAAATAAACTGTCCCAGGGACTTTGTATCTGACTTCAGGACTTAAGGGTGTCCTAACTGAAGGGTGGTAGGGGTCTTCTACAGTGGAGGGGTCTTCTGGGCCTGTCTAGACTCTCTGGCCAGATTACAGTTTCAGAAGTTTCTGGGAATGCCAAAATCATAAAAAATTCCAAAGTATGGACCCCTGGAAGGTAGCAGGCAGTAAATATACAATATAATAAAAAGGACTGTTTTTATTTTATGATGATAAAACAAAGTCTTTATACTTTTTGTTGAAATGGATGAAGGAGAACGATTGAAGTCAAATCATGCTTCCTCCTAACTGTTCTTTAAAATGCTTAAGCAGGGGCTGGAGTGATAGCACGGCGGGTAGGGCGTTTGCCTTGCATACAGCCAACATGGCCGACCCAGGTTCGATTCCCAGCATCCCATATGGTCCCCCGAGCACCGCCAGGAGTAATTCCTGAGTGCATGAGCCAGGAGTAACCCCTGAGCATCACCGGGTGTGACCCAAAAAAAGCAAAAAAAAATGCTTAAGCAATCTCTCAGAGCTGAGCCGAGCCTGGTGCTGGTCTCTCCCCCATCCTGGCCATGACCCAGGGCACCTGGAATAAAACCCAAACCCACTGCCATGTTTAAACAACTCCTTGAGGGTCCTCATTGCTCAGAACGAGTACAAAATTCCCACCTCTGGGTTTTGTACCTGCTCTCCCTCCACCAGCACATTCTCCACCAGATTCTTTGGGTCTTTACTTTCTTTTTTTGGGGGGGACGTTTGGTTTTGGATTTTGGGTCGCAGTTGGATATACTCAGGGCTTACCCTGTGCCGTGCTCAGGGATCATTTCTGAAGGAGCTTGGGAGCCATATGGGGTTGGACGTGAGTTGGCCACATGCAAGACAAGTGTTCTTCACCCTCTTCACCCTCATGTTATGTCTGTGGCCCTTCTTTGTGCCTCCCGGTCTTAGCAGGGTGGTGCCTGTAGAGAACTGCCTGAGAACCCCATTGAGAGGATTATTCTGAGGTCAGTTTCATTTCGCTGATAACCATTAAGGGTCTTTGTATTTGCATTTCTCCGCTTGTCAATTTTCTTTTTTTTAAATTTTTATTAGTGAGACATCATGAGGTACAGTTGCAGGCTTACAAATTTTTGTGCTTGGGTTTCAGTTATACAATGATCAAATACCCATCCTTCCACCAGTGCCCATTTCCCACCACCACGGATCCCAGTATTCCTCCCACGGCTTGTTAATTTTCTAACATTCCCTCTGAAATTAGCTCCAAAATCAGGGTTCTGCCTGGTGTTTTTTACTGCCCCCCCCCCATAAACTCTCTTAACTATCACTCATACCTAGTGCTTCAAACATAGTAAAATAGTAAAGGAAGGAATGGATCAATGGTGAATCTCATCTCTTGGAGAGAACTGCTATGAAACATTTTAGAGTTAAATGCACATGTGTGTGAGCATGCATTTGTAACGTGTGTGTGTGTGTGTGTGTGTGTATGTGTGTGTATAAAAAAATTGAGGTGTAATTTGCTTCTTTCATAGGGCTGGAGCGATAGCACAGCGGGTAGGGCGTTCGCCTTACAAGCGGCCAACATGGCCGACCCGAGTTCGATTCCTCCGCCCCTCTCAGAGAGCCCGGCAAGCTACCGAGAGTATTCGATATGCCAAACACAGTAACAACAAAGTCTCCAATGGAGACGTTACTGGGCCCGCTCGAGCAAATCGACGATCAACGGGAGGGCCTTTACCTTTTACCTTTACCATAGTAATGGACTAATAATTGCTTATTTTATGAGCACCATTTATCTTATTTAAAAGAAACATTACAACTAATTGAAAAGAAATATTACAAGAATAAGAAGGTGGAACAAATTTTGGTTTGAATTTTGAAAAACATCCTGATTACTTATGGTTTTCCCAACAGTTATCTTCCCCATAGCCACAAATAGATCAAATTATAGCCCCAATTTGGCTAAGCTCCTGGAGTTCAGTCTAGGGTTCAGACAGCTGAAGGGACTCTTACCCCTGGAATTCTGTTCTCTCCACTGATCTCTGAGCCTGCCTGGGCTTCACACTGTAGCCCCTGACTTGCAGAGACTGTTTTCTGGGGCCAGGGAAAGTCCTCTCCACCTACTACTTCTATCCTCCATTCCACAATGTAGAACTAACTCTCATATGCCCGCCCCATGATCCTGAACCCTATAGCTGACCTCACCTGGCAGGAATACACCCATCCTGGCCCATGACAGTCAGTCCCAGGGCAAAAGACCTTGCTTGAGGAAGTCACACCGGTCTTATGGGTTCCCAGGGGCTCAGATCTGCCAGATCTGCTTCCCGCCCTCTGATTCACAGGATAATGAGAGCTTTGCGGGAAGAGGAGAGTGTGTGAGTCTTTGGCCACCGGGCAGTTAGGGTGTATGTGGGGTGAGGGGTGAGAAGGAGGGTTAACAGGGGAGTGAGTGTCTGTGCAGTGACAGCACAGGGAAGCTGCTGCCTTTAAAGATGTGGAGGTCCCAAGCTGGTTCTATGCTTGCACACAACTGGGAGACAGATACGTGCTCGTCGGGGGAAATTCTCTCAATTTCTGTGTGAGTGACCTCTTGGATCATGGGGTACCCCTGGTGAGCCTGGGTTAACTGCCCATGCCCTGCCTGCTGTAAAGAGGATGAGCTCATATCCCATGACACATGCATGGGGCCCTGATGCAGCTCTTCTCCTCCAGTCTGAGGCACCAGCCATTTCTCTTGCAGAGGCAGAAACTATCTGGTTTCTCTTGTTGGAGTGAGGCAACAATTGAACTATTGCTTAGCTGGGGTGTGGGGTGGGACAGAGCATTTCACAGCTCAGGAGATTGATTTGTGGAGAGGCATGTTGATTATGGCTCTCAGCAAGTT